AGCCTTAAGAAGCGCCATGGCATGCAGCGGCACACGTTTTTTGGAAGACGTGATTTTTTCCAATAAGAATATTTTTTTTAAGTTTTTTATTTTTTGTGTTTTACAATTTTAACTTTAGATTTTACACTTTTATAGATTTAACTAATTACATCACTCACACTTTCATAAATCCATAAACGTTATAGACTCATGATTAAATTGAAGTTGTAAAATCACATTTCTAAATTCTATTTTAATTATTTAATCAAAAAACTATTTTTATAATAATAACTTTTTTCTTCTATTATGAATGTATATTTTCTAATATCATTATCTGATTAGATAATATATAAAAAACATATGTCTAAAATTCTATATATGACATACAAATTTACCGTCTTATGTCACGCTCTTAAAAAAACGTCTCGTCCTCGTTGTGGCGTGTAAGCCTTGAGGTTTGACCTCTTCACCATGTCACACCCCATGCCTTTTTAAACCCCTCTCTCTCTCTCTATGTGTGTTTTTCTAAGTGAAAAACATGAATATTTTGAGAATGAAAAAACTAATCCTAACCATCCAAGTCTTTTAATCAAAGGCTAATATCTTTTATGACAATTTTGTAATTAAATTGAAAATTGAATAGAGGGGCATAGATTAATTTCACAGGTTGGGGTAAATTTAACAGTAAACAAATATCTAGAACTTCACGTGCTTTATTTTTTTAATAAAAAATGATCGTTGATCTCTCAAACTAAATTATTTCAAATATAACTAGTTGTGTATCCGTATAATACGGTGGGAGCCGTGAATTTTAACGATTTTGAAGTTTCATTGGTTTTATTAGAGAAGATTTAACGATGATATAAGTTACATTTGGTCTTTATATACTAATACAATTTGAATAAATAAGAGTTATGGTTTCAATTACAGTCTATCGATGAAAAAAATTGTATGACAATTTAAAATCCAACATATGTAAACGACTCCACAAATTTGTTTGATTTACACCAAGAGCAAAGAATCAAGAGATCGAGAGCGAGACCAAGAGTTCTAGAGCAATGGAATTGGAGATGAATGAGAGAACTTTTAATAAATCATGGTGGAGATGAATGAGAGAACTTTTAATAACTCATGGTGGATATCAATTTGAATCTAACCTTGAGGGATGAGAGAATACATAAAGGTATGAGAGGGTGAAGGCATGAGTGAAAGATGTCAAAAGTATCTTGAGAACATAAAAATACAAATTAATAATGTGCATTGGTAACTTGTACTATATGTTATTTTAATTGTAAATTAAACGATTTTAAAACTGAATGCATAAAGTAGTAGTACTTAATGCATTATGAATTGTTTTTAAGACTTTGGGCATAAATGTATAGTACTTTGTGCATTAAAAATTGTTTTTAAGAATTTTAATAAATCTGGTTTATAAAGTAGTATAGATTAATATACTGATTAAACAAATTATATCTAAAACGAGCATTTCATATCGACATGTTTTTTCTAAAAAAACTTTAACCTAATTTATTTTATTCCCATATTATAATATGCATATATATAATAAATTTACACCATATGAATATTATACACCGATAAAATTCTATGCAATCTATATTTATCAATATACATATATGTTACACATGAGTATATTCATATATATATACATATATATATATATATATATATACTTGGGATCATATGAGACAAAGGGTTTTTCGTGAGACCCGTAAGACCAATCCTCAACCCTTGGATTAGATCTACAATCTGAACATTCATAATCACAAAATTGCCACGAGACTTCTCAATAATCACAAAATTGTCACCGTGCAACTTTAGATCATTTGATCATTAGCTTATAAAGTTGATCAATGAATATAAATTGGTCTTACGGGTCTCACGAAAACTCCTTGGTCTCACGTGAACCCAACCCTATATATATATACACAATATGAAATTCATTAGTGTTTAGTATTATGTGAATGCGTATATTTATCAACGAATATACACTTGCGAACTTCATAAGTGTATTGTATTATACACGTGGATATATTATATATACATCGAAGGTGGTGGGTTATGGATTTTACACACACAAACACACGTTAAGAAAACAAATGTAGTGGGTTACAAGAAGAAGAGAACAAAGAGAAAGAACGAGCATTTAACTTATATATTTATCCTTTTTAAAGAACTAACAGAAAATTACGAGTTGTCGTGAATGGTTAGATTAAGTGATTTTTGGATGGATGAGATTCACGTAGTTTCTTAAAATATTTATCCGTTTCATTTGAATCATCCTCTATATATCTATACTACATTAACAAGCATTTAAACAAAAGTCTTAATTACAAGTCTTAAAGCATAAAATACTATCAATTTATGCAAGAGATTCAAAAATCTCTTAAGTACAAACTATGATGCATAATGTCAAAGTTTCAGATTTAGGTAAGTCATATTTACATAAAAAAGATATGATTGGTCTTCACAAAGTTGTTTGACATTTTGTTTGTTTCATATTTTGAACCCAAATTCAAATTCAAAGTTCTTCTTTCAAGTAAATTGAAATTTGTAGCAACAATATTAGAAAGGGTTTCAGATCCTGCATGTACCCCACCCCAACCCTTCAACTTTATATGGGTTTAGAAAACTCAACATGTGTGCAATTATTTTTCCATTCGATCTTGCTAATACAACATATTAACCTTCAACTTTATATATTAGTTGATTTGTAAAATAAACACATAAACTCATGGTTCAAGACTAAACTAATATTTTCAGAATTGTGATTCACTTTGCTGCATCGCATATGGATATACCATTAGTGTGTATATATATATATATATATATATATATATATGGGTGTGCTTTTTTGTTCTTGAAAACATTTTGATAAGTGTATTTGTTTTCTATTTTATCAATGAAAGCTAAGGATGAGGTGTCTTCATTAAATTTTTTGAAAAGAGATATGATGAAGGAAGCAGGGAGAAAGGACAGAAGAGGCTTCTCCTGTTGCCTATTCTCTATCAGACCACCTCCTCCCTTATTCACTTTCTAATAATACACCCACCCCACACACACACACACTTATTTACATTCGTGTTTTTACGGACTAAATACGTAAACATACAAGTAAAGGGACTAAACGGTTAAAACAAATAAAGACAAACAAGCTTCGATTAAAACGGAACAAGAGTTGATGCACATATATAGTAAGACGAAAACGACTAACAAACAACACTGTATTAGTCACTTGGTCTTGTCTACTTGTGTCTTACCCATGTTTATGCCCACTCCTTCAACATACGTTCACACTCACTTTCGAAACCAAAAAAAGGGTATCTATCTGATTTTACAGTTATATTTAACTAATACATATATAGATTTCATAAGATATATAAAACCATAAATTGTTGACGAATCTTTTTACAAGTCCTTAGAACTTCTTGTTTGAAATGACAAAATTATTAGACCATTTTTTACCAATCTTTGGTGCATGTATGAGTAAAAAGGTGAATGAATATCTGACAGACAGATAAAGTAAACGAGTCAATTTGTTTCTATGCATGTCCGACAATGATTTGTTTTCAGATACCTTCTTTATCAGTTATTTAAATCATTTTGTCGATGGATGCTAGATTATTACTCCTTACACTACAACAAAATTGGGTTTATATGACGCCTCTAATCTCTAAGCGTCCCAATAGACCGTTTTATAAGACTTAATTTATAGGACTCAAATATAAAGTGTCCTATCTAAAGGTGTTGTAATAAGTTTATATAACGTTTTTGGGCGTCTTAACAAGTTTTTTAGAACATTTTTAATACAAAGTGTCGCATTAGCAACTTTATAGGACACTTTTGAGAAAGTGTCCTATAAACTCAATTTTTTATAGGACATTTGTTTTTTATAGGACTGTTTTTCAAACAGTGTTCTATAAAGTTGCTAATGAGACGCAATATATTAAAAATGTCCTAAAAAACTTATTACGACGTCAAAAAATGTCATATAAACTTATTACAACGCCTTTAGATATGACACTTTATTTTTTTGATCTTATAGATTAGGACACTTATAAATTGGAAGTATCCTATAAACTCGATTTTGTTGTAGTGTTATGTGCGATATATGTTATATATATACACGTATAAATGTATGTATTTAGCGGATACGGGGTTTTTAAATTATGTGAGTTATACGCTTGAATCCAAAATAATAATCAGTCTCATATGCATCCATTTGGGCACCCATGACATGAGGGATAATTAATGGAAGATGTCATTCTCGATGACATTTAAGAACAAAAAATTTAAAGGGTCACATGCATATACTCTTTGTCACATCATCACATATACATATATGGTTTGTATGTATAGATGTTCATCTGTATATGCATTTATTTAGTCATAGAAAAGCAAGCTTTCACCTTTGTATTAAATGAAAATGCAGGGTAATAATAAAGATGATTGGATATTCACTCAACAACCCACCTCCCCTCTTCTTTCAAATTTCAAGAAACTTGTGTTAATTGTGCCTTTTGCATATACATATATTATATATATATGTATGTATACTGTGAATTAAACTTTGTTTTGACAGCTTCTAGCTGTCTTTCTGGTGATGGTAAACAGGTAAGGATTCAGAGAAATTATGAGCTTATTTAGATTGCTAGATAGGTTGAGGAGTTGCAATTGAATCCACCAACTAGACTATGTAAGGAATATAATAAATGAAATTAAAAGTATAAATCTTGGTATAATTTACTAGGGTTTTTTTGTCCAAATTCCAAAAGGTATGTCTGTTCTTTGTGGTTTTATATATGGGGTGGGGTTGGGGGTGGCTAACATCCAGCTAATGCTTTGTACTTATATATAAAGATGTATAGAAGAGAATAAACTCTTCTTATCTTGTGTTCTCTCTTTTCTGTTTTTGTTGGTTAATCTATTGAGGAGTTGACTATATATATATATATATACATATATATATATATTGTTGAAACTAAGTAACAGGTTGAAAAAGAATGGAGTCATCTTCCAAAATATATGGAACAGAAGAATGTCAGAGCAGTGAATCTGGGTGGACAATGTACATTGGTTCCTCCATGGATGATGATATTGATGAAGGTGGTGGTGGTGGTGGCGTATATGACGGTGGCGGTGGTAGGAAGAAGAAGGGTCATGTGAAGGATGAAGATGAAGACACAGATGATTCAATGGCTTCTGATGCTTCTTCTGGTCCAAGCCATCTTCACCTGCAACAGCCATGGGAAGAAGATGATCAAGAGAAGTACAAATCATGTTCAAGCAAGAAGAACAAGAAAGCCGCAGCTGGAAAGAAGAAGGAAGAAAGCAAGAAGAAAGAAGAGACGAACGAAAAGCAGCGAGGTGCCATTACTACTGTTCAAAGTGGCAATAGGGCTTGGTTTTTGGGTAAAAGAAAGTAGCTAGTAATTTAAAAAAAACTAAAGCTTTTGATTCATGCCCTCTAGATCTTTTGGTCTTGTTTTGTTTCTTTGGTGGCGGTGGTGGTGGTGGGTGGCGGTGGATGGTGGTGGTCACCACCGGCTGCAGGTAGCTAGCTAAAGCTTTTGATCAATGAAGTTGTTTTAGAAAGAACGAATACTAGCGAAGGAATCATACTGTTATTTTTTGTGTGTATGGTTTCTGCAAATCCAATGAAAGATCGATCCATCCATCACATGTTCATATTTCTCCATTCATTTCATATGTATATTCATCTTTAATTTACACCATTCACATGTGCATGGATTGAGTTCGATTACATAATCGAAAGATCATCCTGAATCCGAAGCTCAAACCCACTTACAAGATGCATCAATCGACAAACGTCAAAACCCCAAAACCATCAAAACAACACATCATCATGGTCATGGTACCGTTTATCCAAATCAAAAGGCGAGTTGCACATCAACGTTAAAACCTATTTTTCACATTCTCGATGAATAATTTGATCTGATTCTGACATAAACAGGGTGAAATATTGAATTAAGATATATATGATTAGTTTTGTGAATGCATCGATGAGTTGTACGTTAGGATACAAGTAAGGATGCATATGAATGTATGTAGAATGTGACACTTGTAAAGTTGGTAAAAGCACATGAGACGAAGGAAGGAAGAAGGATGGAACAAAGGTGTGTGTGATTATCAGCCAGCCAGCCAGCCAGCCACCATAGCCACAGCTCAAACACCCAATTTCACAGATAGATTACACATGCTCTCCATTCCTTAATTTCTCCTAATCCCATTAATTATTGATCTCAACCCAACTTAACACATCAAACGAGAACCATTAAAAAAAAAGTTAAAATATCTGTTAATTTTTAACAGGGACGGACCCAAGAATTTTTGGATATGGTGGCACTATATAAAACAGTTGTACATTTCACGAACCTAATTTTTTTACTTTTCCACGGTGGCACGTGCCACCTAACCACCCTTCTAGGTCTGTCTATGGTTAATTATGTTGTGAAAAAAAAATGCAACTTTGTTTTACAATATGATTGTTTTTATTTACATATGAAACTACAGATGTAAGTGAAATATATGATTACTGGTTTTCACGGTTCTCAACATTCTTGTAATTCTTATTTAAAGTTCTTAAGTATTATTTTATTTACAGTTTTCTTTTACGTGCAATAAGATCCACACGTCTATCTGATCTAACGTTTGATTACAATGTTTCCCAAATGAATAATAGGTATATGAGGCTATTTTGTAGGACCATTGAATGATGGTTGTCCCCATTTTTCCATGCTATATAAAACATTTAAACTGTTTCTCTTATTTGATATTTGATTAAGACATATTAAGGGACCGTTTACTCAAATGCTTATTTGGTAAGTACTTACCAATAGAAGTCAACACTATAATTTATTTTTCTGGGTAAGATGACCCTTTATGGCACGGCTTAGTAAGTTATTCTCGCAGTTCAGATAAGATTCGGATATTTGGGTTACCTCCTCTCTTTCCGATCTCATTCAGATAGGCTTTCTGTGTTCAGTCAATCTATGTAGAATCAGACTCTTGGACATGGGATCTTGCCTAAATAAATTTCCATTGATATAGTGCATCATAACGATATAGTATGCAACAATTTATCCGGTAAGCACTTACCCGAGTAAGAGTCGTCACTCTCACTTACTGGGTAAGACTCTCCATCCATTTACCGCTCTAACCGGGTAAGATTCTAAACCCTTACCATGTTCATCCAGTAAAAAAAAATTACCCCGTAAACACTTACTGGATAAACGTTCAGTAAACGACCCCTAAAAATTGTTTTTCAATTCAACTTAAAAGAGGTTCTATTTTACTTAAAAAAACCTTTCATTTTTCTTTAAGATGAAATTAATTAAAATTAGAATTAAAAATAATGTAATTTAATTTATATAAAAAAGAAATTTTAATTTCAAGAAAATCTTTGGTGATGCCACCAAGTACAATGTATGCATGTGTGTGAGTGCTTTTTATTTCTATATTTTATTAAAAGAAATTTTGGTAACATGGTACGATGCTTGTCGTAATAATGCAAATAATATAAATTTAAAAAAATAAAAAAACAAGATATTGTTTAGAGTAATTAAATGCTTTTTGGCCATATCTTCTGATATGGCCTATACTTAATTTCGTTTTTTATTTATTTTTAAAATTATATATGCAATTATTATTAATATGAAAATATTGATATTTTAAGATTATTTAATTTTTTATATTGCAAATTATTGGATTATAAATTCTAAAAAAATTAAATACAAAAGAATTTTGAATTATTGATAAATATATAATATTAATTAATGGTTTTGTTGGATTGAGATATGATAATGATGTTGATTTTTCTTGGATTTTAATTAAATCATCAATAATCTATATAGTCCTTAAATATGTCAATTTTGTCAAAGTGGGGGTACAAAAATAAACCTATAAAAATTGTGTAAAAGACCGTTAATAGTTAAGTTTCAAGACAAAACTAATGAACCCGTTAGAAGAGGGTTCGGCCCGAAAGCATATAGCTCAACGTGTAATGAAACATTAGGCCCGAGTTAGCAATAGATGACAAATTTCGTTAAAACAACAACTAACAAAATGTATGTGTATCTTCTGTAGTTGTTGATACCAGCACTTACCTGAATGATTCAAACTGATAATATGTACTTGACATACATCTGTATAAACGTTTAATTTTGTATATAAAAGTCACAAAGTAGATAACAACGAATACTTTTCAATGAAAATTTTACAGAAAACTCAATACGTTCTACCCGTAGTAACATTTGGTAGGTAAATTTGTATGCAAACCTTTCCTCTATCTCAAGCGAGAGTTGTTTTAGAAAAATCCATGATTTAAATATCCTAAGTTCAATTTTATCAAGAAAAACATTCCATGTACTTTTTAATAAATCAAATGGCAATTTTTGGGCCAACAGTCATGGACCCGGCCCAACAAAAGATGGTTCCAATTTCTATTTTTGTAAAGGGATTGGGTTCCTAGGGTCGGAGTAGTGATGACCAAATCGGCCCGGTCCGACCTGGGACCGGCAAAGAACCGGTCCGGCCCGACCCGGGACCGGTTATGGGAGTGAAAACCGGGACTAGTTGGGGTTTTTGATCTTGATGTAATTCAAGTTTTGGTGATTTTGTGTTGGGTTGGTAGTCATATTTGGAGATGATAAATAATAAAATAACAAATTCTTTGAAAGTTATTATAAATATGAATCTAAACTCAATAGCATTTAAAAAAACACAATCTACCGAATCTCAAGAGCATTTATACAAATCTGGGGGGAAAACATGTACACAAATCTAAACCAAATTACGTTTATCCTGAACAAACTCTTAAAATAAAAAGAAAAATCAAAACCCTAAATCTAGAAAGAAAAAAAAATGATTGGCTTCGAAATCCACAAACCCTTTGAAGTCCTTGACACCTTGAAATCACGCAACCAAACCTGAATCCACAAACATTCTAACTTGAAAAAAGAAACATGTGTCCTCCTAACGATTTGAGAGAAGAGATGATGCGTCAAAATAATGTTCAAGAAGGAACTGTACCGGAAGAGGGGGTTAATTGTAAGGGATACATTCATAAATTGGAGAAGTGAGAGGGGAGGTCAGGAAACGGGGATGACTGGTTCAACAAGGAGGGATTTAATGGCTCATATGATGCATATCGATATATGTATAAATTAGTTTATTATTATTGTTGAATTACTTTAAGAAATTGAGGTCAGATGACAGATTCGCCCTCATGTTCCTCTCACATGCCTTCATTTAATGGAAGTAATTTAATGTGTGAACTCCATATTTTGAAAATCTAGGAATCTTCGATTTAGATAGTATGTTTGAAGGATAAGACCGATAGTGTAATTCACTCTAAACAGTTGTATTTAAATTACAGAGAAAAAAAAGGACAAGAATTAACATGGAAACTTTAAAACAGAGAATTCCACAAGCCTTCAGAGAGAAAATCCACTACGTAAAAAATTATTACAATCACACAGTTCTAATCTCTCAAGCCTCACCCAATAATACTCCACACTCTCAAAAGTTTAACTCAAAGCTTTGTACTCTCTAAAATAAGAGAACAAGAAAGAAAGAATAAAATACTTAAAGCATATTTTATCGAGATAATTTGAAACCTATGTCTTGGACCTCTTCTTATAAGCTTGGAGTCCCTTTCACCTTTCATTGCTCCACCGATGTGGGATAACCATCGAAGCTTTTCTTTTATTTTAGCAAAAAAATTCTTAACATGTTGCCCAGGGCATAAGTGACATGATGACTTGACGTCATCCTTGCCGTCATTTGGCTTGTCACTTACAATCTGTTCAAAGTTCCAAACCAGATCATGCAACTAACAATACGCACGAGGGTTACGCTCGTTGTGAGATTTTACCCCACACCTTTTTGACAAGCTGACAATAACCATCCATCACATGTGGGCATGTTCCGGAAAGCACCCATTTATTATAATTACTTAATTTTATATTCAAGGAGTTTTAAGAAATTATACGTATGCAAATTTTTTATAACTTAAAATATAAGATATTGTATATTAACAAATAATATCTAAGGTGTCATAACTTGTTTTTTACTATTTTTAACCAAATGATGTATAATATAATGAAAATAATTATATAAAAACTATATGTTTATAGTTTATAATTTGATTCTTTTTCAATTCGAAAACTTTTGATTAAGAAACAAAGCAAATCAAATTGAACGGGATTGTAATTTCATCAAACTAAAATAAGAAAACGTAATCCCATTGATAGGTATTCTTTTACGATAAGAATAAACCACAAGACTTTAGTCGAAAATCTTACTTTTTCATCATAGATGAACGTTTAAATACATAAAAAGAAGCAAACTACTCCCTTAATTCTAGCCTACTAACCTTACTTAACTGTCACTTCGACTGACTCCA